ACTTGGCAAAAATAAAAAATACGGGCCCCCTAAATTTGTCTTAAGAATCTGTGACCAAATTTTGTTGCATGAATTTCGAGACACCCTGTATATTGAATGTATTGCCTAAGGTATTGCCTTCTCTTATAGATACTGATGTAATGCCAGTTCTCAGTATAGATTTCTTCCTGAAAGACCTGTTATTTAGTTTATTAGTTTTAAGTACAACGTCAATAGCGCCATCCTGACGCCATTCGGGACGCAACAGGGTTTCAAAAAAAAGATAGACGGCAGATTGGCGCCAAAGACCAGGTACTTCTGCTAGCGACTCCACACCAAGAGGGACTCTCCAGCGAACGCTCGCCCCGACAACAAGCCTTTTTCACAAACTCAGTTTTCAATTAAAAAATACTTTATTTCTACCGTTGAGAGAGCGTTTTATTTTGCTGTACAGCGAAAGCAACCCTCACTGTCAACGTCAGTAAATTCCTGGAGTTTACATCTCGATTATAGCAATACTCTGGATATTATTTAATTAGATTTCAATCAATGTGGGTGTAGCTAGGAAGGCAGGGGTGATCATGACCCACCCCAGAAAGCCCGGTAAATCGGTGACTGCGTGTCCTGGGTCCACTCCAAACAAAAGTTGCAAGCTACGACCATGTCAATCAAACAAGATGCCGCACAAAAAACTGCTGTTAAAACTTGAGAATGGCATAAATGGCAGGTTTCTAAGATTGATTAAAACATTTTTCAGCTAGTTCGAGTTACATTCACTAGAATCCGTGGTAGTAAACTTTTTTGAAAATTCTATTACTAATTCAGTGTTCTTGAAACATGATCTCAAACTCATTTCTGGTCGATGTCAGTATTGGCTTATACCGAGGCTTATACTCCTGAATGGAAACTGACTAGTTTAGTATACACACTGGATTTTGGACTTCCGGAAAGTAGTCTTGTTTATTTTTTGCATGCCTTTTCTCACTCTTTTGTTTTGGCACTTCTAGTACCTATCTCTACTTTCACATGTATTTTGCTCTGCCTGAGCACTTTTTTTTTAGCTTCTTAGAGCGTCATGATATTTAGGCTTCTTCAACACCTTGATTTTGTACTAATGATCATCTTTGTTATCGACTATAAGTTCCTAGTGATTCCTTGTCTGATTGGACGCTGGACTGATAATCTAATTGATTAACAATATACTTATAAATTTGAAATTAATTGGTTTGAAATGATTGAGTGCATCGAGGGGCGATCCGCTAAGGAAAAAACGTACGAAGATTACAAAATTTCTGAAATCTCTTGTAATGTATCTGCAGATTTCAATATCGATTAAAAAAAAATTACAAATTTCATATAAATAATCAAGATTACAATATCTTTCAACCGATTACAAAACATTTCAGGAGATTTCAGAGTTATTTTAGTAGATTTCAATGATTATTTAAGATTTCAATAGGATTATTCGAAATTAAAAGAAGATTTCAAAATTTCTTAATAATATTTCAAGGAATACGGGAAGATTACAATAAGTTTTGAATGTCCATTTGAACAAAAATAATTGAATTAACTTCAACTGTCATTCATTTCATTCATTAACAGTAGTGCTTTGATTAAGAATTTCCAGTATCATTTTTACGCAAAAATTGTAACATTCTGATTAAGTTTTTGTTCGAATGAACGTTAAAAACTTTTTGTCATGACAAAAATGATAACGCCATTTTGAAAGTAGGTAAGTATATATTTTTATTGAAAGATAAAAATATAATAATCCAATAAACTAATAAAAATAAAAAAAAAAAAAGTAACATAAAATAAACATTTTCCCAAAAAATAAATAATAAGAAATATTTTAAGCTTTTATTAACACTTGTATTTAATACTTTACCTGTATACAGTGTATTTAAAAAAGACGCGGCAATATTTAAGGGGGTGATTGCCCAGATCATTTTATAAAAAAAAGTTCCTATAAACATACGTCCGCAAACGCTTCGTTACCGATCTACAGAATGTTGAAATTTCATTAAAAAAACAGTAAAAATTAAATTTCTCCAAAACCTCTTGATATTATAATGAAATTTTAGGCCTGTCAATAGCTATGGCAGACGCGTACTTTGCAATACAAAACGATTTTTTAGTCTTACCAGTGACTAGCTATTTTTAATGAAAAAAATAGGACCCCGCTGGTTTTTCTAAAAATATAATTTTTTAATTCCTTGTTCAATTATGAAGAAGAAAGCTTTCCTCAGATTATACGCACCGTACGTCACACCGTTATTGAGTAAAAAAATAAAAAACATTTTATTGCGCACCTAAACCCAATGTTGTTTTAATTGAGAAATTTAAATTATTGAACAAAGAAATTCAAATTATCAAATTTGATTGATTTTTGAAATGTGGTACATACTGTTGTTTGTAGTAGGTAATAATAAGGGGCTGCGTTTTAGAGAAATTTAATTTTTACTGTTTTTTAATGAAATTTCACATTCTGTAGATCGGTAACGAAGCGTTTGCGGACCTATGTTTATAGGACTTTTTTTATAAACTGACCTGAGCAATCACTCCCTTAAATATTGCCGCGTCTTTTTTAAACACACTGTATACAAGTAAAGTATTAAATGCAAGTATTAATAAAAGCTTAATATATTTTTTATTTATTAGTTTTTGGGAAAATACTTACCTACTTTCAAAATAGCATTATCATTTTTGTCATGACAAAATGTTTTTAACGTTCATTCGAACAAAAAACTTAATCAGAATGTTACAATTTTTGCCCAAAAAATGCCTGATACTGGAAATTCTTAATCAAAGTACTACTGTTAATGAATGAAATGAATGACATTTGAAGTTAATTCAATTATTTTTGTTCAAATGGACATTCAAAACTTATTGTAATCTTCCCGTATTCCTTGAAACCTTATTAAGAAATTTTGAAATATTCTTTTAATTTCTAATAATCCTATTGAAATCTTAAGTAATCATTGAAATCTACTAAAATAACTCTGAAATCTCCTGAAATGTGTTGTAATCTTGATTATTTATATGAAATTTGTAATATTTTTTGAATTGATATTGAAATCTGCAGATACATTACAAGAGATTTCAGAAATTTTGTAATCTTCGTCTGTTTTTTCCTTGGCGGATTGCCCTTCGGAACACACCAATCGCACCATATAGGTTTCTGTCGAGGTTTCTGTGGCATTCTTTGGAAAATGAGGTAGGGGGGGGGGGTTGTATAACGACTACATCGACGAAATTCATTAGCTGATTACATAGATTACAGCGAGGATTACAGATAAGATTACGTAGATTACAGATAGATTACATAGATTACAGATAAGATTACGTAGATTACAGATAGATTACATAGATTACAGATAAGATTACGTAGATTACATAAAGATTCCAGGGCAAACGTACGAAGATTACATCAGCGGATCGCCCCTCGGAGTGCATATTGGAGACAATTTTATTTAGCAAATCGATGATATTCTCAAATTTAGCGTATTCTGAATTCTCCTGAAAAACTTAAAAGTGTCGAATATTTTAATGTGAAGTAATGAAATCTATAAACCGTTCAGGAAAGCGATGAAAATATAAAAGCATAATTTTGTGTAAAATTTCATAAATTTACCTATCATCGTTTCATGTCCAACAGATATACCACAAGGTTGAAGTTTTTTTTATTTAGTTATCTCATAAAAAGCTGTCTTCTTTCTGGTTTTATAGACTCAGGCACTTATTTAGTAAGTGACTAAAATGCTAGGACTTTTGACAGTTTATACCTCGGTTTATATGTCACAAAATAAGGCCAGAGTTTCCTATAGACATGTATCCAAAAACCTTGTATTTTTGAGATACAGGGTATTCAAAATAGTCCTGAAATAACACTTAAGGTTAATAATAAATTTCAAACATAAAATACGTGATTAAATTAATTTTTCATGTTTCAAATGTTCCATTTTCTTAGTACTTAACATATTAAGTATATTTGACATTTTAGAAAACGAAAAACTAAATATTTTCCTTTTTTAATATTAAAATGTATACGACATCTATTTATTTGGCAGAACCCTGGAATTAAATGCGTTGAGTTTACTCAAACGTTAGGTGTTCCGTAGGATTCTATTCTTGGACCTCTCGTATTTGCATTGTACATTAATGATGTTGCTTTCCAATTAAAAGATATTTGTTACACGCCGATACAGAAAATATTTGTTCTATTGATAATTGGATATTGCTCTTTAGATATAAATAAGAATAAATAAATAAATAAATACATCCAAAAATAAGTAAATAAATAAATGAATAAATGACCAAACACCTCCATGGTTGCTGTTATGTATTGGTGTACCAACATCTATATTTCTTAACACGAATATTTTATTTTTTGGCTAAAATTATTAAGTCCTCTTTTTATTTCAAACTTTTAATAGAGAGAAGCGCTAGAGGTCGCTAAGACCATCAATTCGACCATTTGTAGAGCAAAAGGGAGTGCACGAACCTGAAGATATACAACCCAGATCTAAAATAATAATGAAATGCTCATAATATTCTGGGCAATTTGGTTCATTTAACCGATACTGTACCACCAAAAATAAAAAAGTTACTGAGGTGCAGAGTTAAAAGATGTAAAGTGCTATCGGTTAATAAAAAAAATGGATTTAGTGACCTTGAGATGCTTTAAAAAACTTAAGGTACCCGTTTTTTTATTTTTTATAATATTTAACACTACTTGTATTACATTCGTAGTTCAGCTCGTGTCAACCATACATAGTAATACATACACAAAATTTTAAAAAGTAGTTTAAAAGGTCACTATGAATCTTGTACGAAGCCGGACCAACATTCCAGGGACGGCCCTGACTATATATTTCCAATTCATATTTAATTCAATTTCCTATTTACTAAATACTCATTATTATTTGCAACAAGTTTACAATACAATCGTTTTGTTAGTACCGATTGCGCATTTAGCGAGAAAACGCAGAATTATATACGGGTCTTGCATAAAACACTACCTTTTATCTTTCGTTTTGACCATGGTGGAGCCAACCAGATGCTCCGGATTTGCATAAACTACTTGCACTAGAACGCTGTTACTTTCACTATATTTCGCTTAGAAGGATCCCAGTCAACTCAACACGCGATTTTCAACTGCGGACGATGATACACGCACTCCGGCACCGTCCCACACCGCTAGAAACCCATCAATGACGGCGGTCGCTGGGAAAATCGCGCATAACTGAGGATGGAACAACGCGAAGTTAACGTCGATTGAATGCCTGCGGCGAGGACCAGACTTCCTCTAATCGTGCCAGCCTTCATGTGGTACGAAAAGCACGTGCAACCCGGAATTATTAGACAAAAACGTCGGAGCGGTCGACCAGTGGTGGCGGGATGGAAGCGCTATTGGGCAATTAAAAAAAATAATGTCAATAATAACACATTTCCAAAGAAACTTAGTCACACCTTCATATCTTTTCGTGTATACTTCAGTGTTTAAATAATATCAGTAGATTTTAAAATGTGCAAAGTCAGTGGCGTCACTAAGAAATTGGAACAGGGTAGGCCAACCTAGACGAGAAGGTCGGAGTCCAAAATCCTTGAAGTAAGAATTCCAAAGATACAGGATCGTACTTGGAAAATTATGACCCGCGGAAAATTCGCCCTGTATATTTTTTCTACTATTTTGTATAACATGATGAAAGTACATGATCCAGTGAAAAAAAATCACGCGTTTGATCGTTTTGTCATATGTACTTCCTAATTTGTGTAGGTATTTATGACCACATTGAAAAAGTCCATCTTGTATTAGATTTCAATGATTACCTAGACCTAGACAATGAGACATAACATTACAGGATACCCTCGGGGCACACATATTTAGGCAACCCGCAACAAATTGTCATAGTTGAAATTTTACAGACCGAATCTGATCCCTGTACAGGGTGATTTACTATATTTTGACACCCACCATTAACTTTTTTGTTTTAAGAGTTATAAAAAATGTAAAATACAAAAATTGCACGATTTTTTATGAATTTTTCGAAAGCGACATTTGAAAATGAAGTCCAAACAAAATGGCCGCGGGTGTTAACTTTCTTAATTTAAATGGAACACCCTGTATATTTTTGCATATTTGGATAGAACGTTCTCTGTCGAGCATAGTCATATAGGGTTTGTTGGGTCCATCTCTAACAAAAAGCGAGATGCTATTAAAAAAGAAAAGAAGATTTTTTATTAAGAAAATAAGATATCTTGTAATTGTTAGACCTCTTTCTGGCATTTCTGCCATTTCCAATTACGTAAGGTTTTACAGATTTAGTTGTAATATATTTTGACATATCGGACATTTATATGGTATTGTAACTAAATCTCACTAATTAGGCCGTGAGAGGACTAATTACTCATGGACAATGTTATTATGGTAGGCCGTGACAGTGACAGGTAATGTCATGACAACATTGCTATTGATCGACAGTTTGTATTATTATTTAATTAAAATAGGTTACAAAGAAGTAGAAATATTATTAGGAATTCAAATAGAGTATAGTATATTATGTTACTAGGAGTAGAAGGCGATCATTATGTGCTGAGCCCAAAAGTTTGCTCGCCGAGGCGTTAGCCGAGGCTGAGCAAATTGGGCAAAACACATAATGAGCCTTCCACTCCGAGTGACATATACTATTTTTTCTTCAAGCGTGAATATAAAAAATTACTAATTTTGAAAATTTATAGCGGATAACGCGATGTTCAATCTCAGCACAAAATAAAATCAGTAGGTAGGTAATACTATTTATTTTATACATTTTATACATTTTATTGATTAATTAAACATGACAGTTTTAACCACTTTATTCATGAATAAAAAAACAAATGTAACAATTATTTTTCTTTAATTTGAATTAAACGAATAAACATCTAAATTACCTACATGTCTATCATCAAACTTTATTTATTAACATGAATATTAAATGTGCAATTTTGTATGGTACAGTTGTTGATATTTAAAGCGCTGCTGGCTGTCTTTTTTTCAAAGTTTACAGTTCTGTCGTTGAATACGTTACTTGTAATAAGGTTCTCAGTTTCAGTGTTAACAATTGTACCATTATTAACAGAAAAGTCTTCGATTAAATTATTTTCAGGATCAATATTTACAGTTTCGCTTGATGTACTTGGTTCATTATACTCTAATGGGTTTAATATTTTCATCGCTATCTGTTTCTTATTGTTTACAGAATCTTCAATGTATCCTTCAGCGACGCTGGTAGATTTCCATCCACCATGTCGCTTTAGGGTTGTAATGTCTCCACCATTATCAACTAAGATAGTTGCCGAGGTTCTTCTAAGGCAATGCCCCGTATATTCATGTGGATTTGGCAACCTTAAAAATGATGCAACATCTTTTGGCACTTTTGAAATTTTATGTATGCCCATTACAACACGATGACAATGGCCATTTTGATATTTAATAAAAAATCTATCAAAAGTTATGTCTTTTGGCCGAAGAGTAGCATATTTTCTGTATAAATTTAAATAAAACTCTCCAATTATGGTAAATGAACGATGTTTTTTAGTTTTTGTATTGGGAATATTTACTAATATTATATTTCCCAAATCTTTTACATCATTAACTTTTACTTGAATGAGTTCATCGCATCTACAAGCTCCTGTGACTCCAAATATTAGTGCAACCTAAAAAATATAGAATTATTAATTTTGTAACAATAAAAAAAGTTGGAAAATGCAAGGAAATTCTAAAACATGACGTAATTTTAAGACATCTATATTTATGAGTTTTTACAACATTCTTCCAATGAGCTATCTTTATTTCCGAAAATTGTTTATTATTCTCGTAATGGATACTATAAAATAACTTGAAGTTTACAAATTATAACAAAATTTTGTATTACAAATATAAAAAGGTTAAATATATATCTACCTATAATTTAAAAAGTACATACCTTGGTTGCTAAATATTTATCATCAGGTGCTTTATTCAGGAATTCGTCAAATTCTTTTTTAGACAAAACTTTCGACTTTTTTGGTTTATAATTTTCACCTTGTCGTTTCAAAAATGTAATTAATTTTGAATATTTCTCAATATTTACATTGTGTTCTATGTTTAATTTAGATTTTACCATTGAATATTGCGCCCATAAAGTTGAACTTTTCAGTGTTCTGGATAATCTTGTAAAATATGCTATCATCACATTTTCTGAATAAATATGTGCATTATTTTCTTTTGCCCAATTTATGAATTTATCATAAGCATTTTCATAAATTTTTCTCGACTTTGTTGGTATAAGTGTTGCCACTGATGTATTTGCAATTTCCAGTAATTCTGGTGGTGTGCACTGCATTTCTTCAGACATTTTAAAAACGACCCGACGCGACATCAAATTTCAACTGACACTTAATGAAACGTCAAAGCTTCTTGAATCTTTAATTCGTTGCTAGGATACTTACCTACACATTGTTACATTTTTTTACTAGTTAAAAAATGAAAAATATTTGTACTAGTTAAACAATAGGCTGCTTCTAAAGGAGGTGTTGCACTATATAATATAAGTATTATTATACGCTTGAAGAAAAAAGATCTTCTCCATACTCTATTTTAATTCCTAACAATATTTCAATTTTCTACTGCTGTATAACCTATTTTAATTAAATAATAATACAAACTGTCAATCAATAACGATGTTATAATGACATTACCTGTCACTGTCACGGCCTACTATATAACATTATCCATGAGTAATTAGGCCTTGCTGAAGCTATTGAGTTTTACTCAAATCCGAGTTACAACTAACTATCAATTGTGCAACTTTTGACTTTATTCCGAGTATAATAAAACCAATTTAGAGTTGACTTTTTCTCTAATATGATTTAAATGTAACTATTATCATTTTTTACTCAGACTTGGTTTTTAATTAACTAAATATCGAGTGCAAAATAAACCACTCATAAATGATTAATTAGGATATACGGTGTTGAAATTAATTCTCTTCACGGGGTCTCCTCCTGTCCTGGCTCAGACCCGTCAGCTGAGACCCGCCGCCGCCGGCTAAGGCCTGTTCTCCTGGCGAATCACGCTTTTCTGGAGCATCTAACGGGCCCCTATCAACTGTGGTCGAGATTACAGAAGTAACATGTAAGTGGTGCCATCTTTACGGCACCATTCAAATTACTCGAAATTAATATGCATTTAAACTCGCTCAGTAATAAGGACATTTGCTCTGATTTAGGTACAAAGAATTTAATTAAAGAGTACCTATATTTGAGTGGAAATATTCAGTTTTAGTTTAAATACAATCACAAATCAGTAAAATGATCAAAATGCTTAATATTGAGTGAAAATGTACAATAATTTCACTCAATGGATTTACTCCGAACCTTTATTGCTTTCACTCACACCGATTTTTTTACAGTGTACATATATTTGGACTTTGGTACAATCAATTGAGCTCTTCTCAAAAACGGTGTGTAATTACAGCAAACGTGTATATGTAAAATTAGATTTTACATAAACCGTCTTAAGAATCATGATCTTGAAAAAAATGGCACAAAAGGTTACTAGGGAAAGTCGTAGAAAGCGACACGGATTGAGCGTATGGCCAAAAACTAACAAAATTAACGGTACAAATAGGGCTAAATAGATTATTGGTAGTCAGTGGTGGGAATTAAGGCATAAAATCAAAGAAAACACAATAATTTTTTCTTTGTCAACGTTTCGTCACCTTTATTATGACTGAGATTTTCAGTATATTTTCTTAGTCATATTGGGTTATTGTTTGTTTAGATGATTACCCACTCTCATATTATCTACTTATAACTGTCTAAGACTATTATCGACTAAGAAAACATTGAGAATCTCAGTTTTTTATTGTCCTGAAACTGTCAGAATAAAGGTGAACAAACGTCGACAAAGAAAATATTATTGTTTTCTTTGGTTTTATGCTTTAATTCCCACCAACAATCAATATATAAAAACTACTAACTAATAAAATACTAGCTACCAGTATTTGTCATATAGCTAAAATTTCATTTAAAAAAATATTCTTCGATATAATTATGCGTTGGCAGTTATCCTAGATAATTTGAGTAATTGGCCAATTTTCTATTTAAAAATGACAAAATCACATTATGGTTTAAAATAAACTATGACATCTAGTGTTATGACATAACGTGTGCGAAATAAAAACAAAAAAATAAACACTTAAGTTCTTAAGGCGGGCATTTTATG